AAGTCATACCTTGGAGATGAGATTTTAGGTGTGTATTTCTGCCACTCTGGTAAACCCACTGTAATTACATAAGTGTTTGCTCTCTGGGCTGAAGATTAAGTGTCGTACCTCCGGCAATAGAAAAGGGAGATGGAAAAATCTACAGGAAACAATCTTGACCTTTTAATTCTTTAAAGTATGCTTGAAATATGCTGGGCTGCCCATGGGAGATAAGACTTAGCCTCTATGCTTCAGAGCTTCAGTATAAAAAAATGACAGTATTTGTTGCACTTTTTATCCAATTTAGCTCAGCTCTGAGAAGGAACAAAAGCATCTCTCAGCATTGGGCAGACCAGTATATGTTTCCTCTTGGTGTGGTGATGCCTTATTCTCAGTGGAGTTTCACATGTATACTGTGTTCATTTGACAGGTACTGTCCACTTCAGTGATATTAAAGGTAAGTCCTGTAGGGTTGTATGTAGGGGATGCTGTTATCTGACCTGTTTTAACAACTACCCTGGGTGTCGCTGAACTACCTATAAACCATATGATTGTGAACCTAACTTGGCTAAGCAAAGTCACCAAGTAGTAGTGAATCAAGCCCAGCAACACTTGCTGGGGACTCTTCCCAGTTGTCCAGAGCAGGGGGCTGGACCCGATGATCTCACAAAGTCCCTTCCAGCCCTAAACGTCTGTGAATCTGTCGTTTCAGACTGAGTCATCAATGAAAGCAATGGGAAGAAGCCAGGTAACAATGCCAATTTCTCTAGATCTGTCATTGTATAAAATTCCCCTATTCATACCTTCTTTTCCTATTAATCCCTTTCTTGGAGATTCATAGAAAACTTGAGACAATGATACAGAAAGACAGTAAATAGCTGCCTAGATGATACCTTTCCAAAATAAAGGACAGTCACATAAAACAGAGGGAAAATGATCCATCCTTTCCTGCCTGTTAGACACTAGAATACCCTGAGAACGGATGATGTACCTCTCAGTCTCCTGATCCATACTATCATACAAATACTACACATTACTTTTCTTCAGTTTTCCAGGCTGTAGCCATATTGGTCTGGTGGCAAAAGCAATCAGGACTCATGGTAGAGGTGATATCTTTTATTAGACCAACCAGATTTTTGCAAAAAAATTCTTTAATTTTGTGCCCAAAAGCTTGCAATTAAAGATTTTTATTTATTTATGTATTTATTTTGCAAAAATCGAACTGGTCTAATAAAAGAAATCACCTTTACCACAAGTCCTGATTTCTCTTCAGTCTAGTTTACATACACTTCATACTTTTGTGACTGGGTCCTTCCTTTCTTAATGACCCAGTTCTGTGCTAGTCTTTAGTGAATGACTACAGTCCATATCCCGTTCAGTTTGTTCATGCTATTGTCTGCAGTGCAGGTACTTCATAGCCTGGCCTTACACAACTTGGACTTGGGAAAACCCAAACTACTGGTAAAGGATGCACAATGGACCAGCGAGGATCAACGATAGAGTCAGGATCCTAGTTGAGTGAAGTGCCCAAAAAGATTTGGGTCCACTAAGGTTTATACCTACATTGCTATAATTTAGTAACTCAACTCTTGCATAGTTGTTTTATGTTGCACACAAGCAAGATTCAACTGGATCTTTACATCTCACTGAGTAATTGCTATTTTCTCAGTGTGCCAAGCCATAAGAAATTGTAGGCTGTCGTTTCTAAGTAGTCCATCAAAGAACGTTGACAAAAATTACAGTTTTTACAATGGTTTCTGAAGTGGGGGGGTTTTATATATACATCGATAGGAACTAGTACATATTCACGAGAACGGATTCATTCACCCAAAGTCTAGAGTAGCCCTGCTTTTTCCATCATTGTGGAAATTTTGACAGTGTTTTTGTTTTTAAATCTGATGCAGACATGGCAGGAAGGATGTTTCTGTTTTTATTTATTAAAAAAAACCCTCCGTTATCTTTTAAAATTATAGTGCGTGTGCGTGCATAAAATATTGTTTTAAAAAGTGGATTTATTTCAGTGGTGCGTTAAAATACAGAAACCCTAAAAGACACCACTGTGCTAGGCGCTATCAACGTGAGCCTCCTCCAAACAGATTACAGCCCTAGTACAAAATTGAATTCTAGCAACACACAGTGTATTTTTTTTTTCTAAAGCAACATGACCCTTGTGGTATAACAGGCCTACTCTTGCTTTCCACTCTCCGAGCTCTGTGCGAGCATATATGAAGTGTTGGCTCGGTGATAAAATTAGATGCTGAGCTAATACCTGCCTGGTAGCAGTTCAAGTGCACAGTGTGTTCTGCAGCTCTGGGAATTTCAACTTCTGTGCAGAGAAAGGCAGACAGCTGAGGAAGATCAGCCCTAATCAACACTGATCCACCTGGCACCGATTATCTAATAACTGACCTTCAGAAGGGCCAGCTTCTCTTTGCAAACCTAGGCGTCATCAACAGGTGACTCTCACGCTCCAAATATAAGCCCCCGTGAATAAGGCAATCACTATGCCCTCTTTTTTGGATCATTTCTTTAAGTAAGCAGAGAACTCATCTGAGCTCACAATGTAAAAACAATGCAGTGAATTTGGCTTATGGCAGCGAAGAACTCAGAGCCGGATCAAGGGACTTTTTGCCTTGCACTCATCCAACACAAGGAGAGAAAAACAGAATCAGCAAGGTCCAATGAGGCCTGGGTACAAAACCCCCTGACTTCTGGTTTCGCTGAACTGCCAGAAAACTAGACCCCGCCGTCAGCACGCCAAAAGCCTGTTTTTCTACCGCGTGTGGCTTCCTGTTACAGCGTTGTCGTATTTAGCTGAAATTGCCCTTGCTGTGGATGTGAATAATTACATTATTTCTGTTTACCAAAAGAAAGCAATGACGCATCTCACATCATTTCCTTTGCTGTTATACATATCTTGTAACAAGCTCTGAGCAGGTGCTTGCTTTACTTAAAAGCCTCTCAGATATAGTTTTAAAAATAGAAAAAAAAAATTTTGGTGGGTTTAAAATGGTGGCTTTCATTTAAAAAAAAACAAAACAACCCACGCATATTTTTTGACCTTTTTTTAACTGTTAATCAAAAACCTAACCTAAAACACTTTCATTTTTAATAGCGAGTAAGTACAGTTGCCCCATTGTTCTTTCACATGTGCAATTCTAATGGGAAACCAAGAGCTTGAATAAATGTATGTCAGCAGAGCTTACTGTACGTCATAAAACGCCATCATTCCTGCAATTTAAGGGGGACCTGGTTTACTTCTCCACTGGTTTGCACTTTGTGTGGTCAATTATGTATGTGCAAAATGGGTGTAATGCATTACCGATGAAAATGAGAACATCTGAGCAGCGTAGAAGATGATGGAAGGTATACAACAGTGCAAAATAAAAACTCCTCTTTCTGTTTTTGGACAGCTATTTAATTACTGTAGACTCACAGCTCCTAGAATAAGACTTAGCATTCATACGTTGATTAACGTGTCCAAAAGACTAATCAGATATTTCCTCATTGCCACCAGCTGCAGCAGTTTAACCAGATTCACAGAGGGACTGGACAAATTCTGGGAGGAAAGGGGCATGGGAGCAAGGGGCACAACCTCTGAATCACAACCTCCTAGGCCTTAAATGCTGGAGGCTGCAAGGGAGAGAGGAACAGTGGAGAAAACCCTGATCTGACCCACCTGCTATTTCCTACCTATGGGGACTTTTTACCATCTTTAATTTTCCCCGAGCCTGAGGAAGGGCGTGCATGCACGAAAGCTTGCAGAAAGTTTTTTGGGGTTTTTTTGCGATTTCTCTGTTGGTCTAATAAAAGGTATCATCTCTGAACCAAGATTTGTAGAGTTTTGCATTTCTTTTTCTCTCAGGCCAACACAGCTACCAAATCCATCCCTGATCTGCCCCAGGTCACTCTCCCTTTCAGCATCCGCTCTCTGCCCCGGTGTGACACAGGAGCCTGGGCAGGACGGACCTGTGGTCTGATCCAGTGAAGAGCAGTTCTGATGGTCGCTCTACACCCATCAGCTAGGTAAAATGTCTATTATCTACCTTTGAAAACCAACTTATGGAAAGCCAAGGCAGGGAGCTGAAGTAAGTTGCCGGAGGCAAGTCAGTGACAGCACTGGGACCGAAGACAACAGCTGCTCAATCCAAACCATGTGTTCATCCCACCACTCTGTGGCACCTCTGGTTACACATTAATCCTGTTGAATTCTCTGCATTAGCAAGTCAGCATCTAGATTTTATTTTTAAAAGGAATAAATTAAGTTCACCACAATCATCGTCTAGTGCCAGTCTGAATGCTCTGTGCTGTTCTGGTCACACAAAGCAGCCTTAATCCCCGTAGACCCAAACATGGGAGTATCTGCCGTGATGAAGGGCTCATCTTTCCCCCCTCCCCTTGCCAAATTCCTAGGCAGGGGCAAATCGTATCAATTAGAAGTAGTTTTTGAGACATAATGCAGCTGTAGCTCCAGATCTGAGCCATTGCATGCATGCAAAGATAAGGTGATAGGGGTGTAGGTTGTAGCCGTGTTGGTCCAAGGACACAGGCAGACAGGGTTCTTTGGGTGAATCTATCTTTTATTAGTTGGTCTAATAAAAAGATATCAGTTTTCCACAAAGAACCACGTCAAGATCAGGTAATCAAATCTCATGCTTCCGAGACATGGGTTTCTACAAGGGATTCCTCTTCCCTCCCTTCCCTCACTGTCTGCTAGGTTCATTATTTTCCATCTTAGTCTGGAGCTGTAGGCAACAGCCACTGCACATGGCAGGATCTTGGACCAGACTGGGCAATAATCTGATCTCTTGCTATATTCCTGGGAAATCAGGGATAAGTCATTCTAAGGATAAATTATTCTTCTTTCCCTTCACAATTATCTATCAGTGCACATTCATGGAGAGACTTAATAGATGATTTCAGTTAAGACCAAGCCAACACATTCATCGCATCCATCTCCCCTTCACACTCCAGTTGCAACACCCAGGATTTGTCCATATAGGCAGCACTATGCATCTCCATTCGACTCTGGCTTTTTTAGTAGGATTCTATGGGTGTGAATGAAGCCTAAATTGAATGGAGAGAAAAATGGGAGAATAAAAACTAAAGGTGGCTTCACGCGTGAAGAGCCCGGCTTTACCCAATGCGCAGAGCGGTGGTGATCTAGTTGTGAAACAGGAGGCATGCCAGGATCTCCGCGTCCCGGAATAAATAGCATGTCATAGACGTATTTAGCAAGTGAGGAAAACAAGCCCCAGACAAATGAAAGAAGGGGAACGCAGTCCCTGGCTGGGAGGTCATTGAATATTTATAGTCAGGAAACCTCTAGTTCTGACTGGGGATTTTCCTGCTTTCCTCACCCCTGCCACTATATTTGGGATGTGATTCCGTTTATCAGTTGAAAGGATGCTCTTGTCAAATCTACTTTTTGATATTAAAAAAAAAAAGTTGGAAAATATCTAAAAGAAAAAAAAAACAAAACCTTCTCCGGCTGCTGGTCATTGCTGTGAGGAGACAGATCACCACCCACTATATTGATTTAGCCAAAGAACATCATGTACTTTATATTTAAAGACTTTTGAATGCAATGAACAACTGCAACGAGGAATTCTTCTGAACAACACACTTATTAGTAAAGACAATATTTGTACCCTCCTCTATCACTGCCAGACTTGAGTGACCGGCATTTGAAATTTGTCTCCAGCCAGAAGCAGGTGGCTAGAAAGATCTTCAGCAGTTTCTTTTCCTTAGTAGAGGCAGCTGACTGGGTTGCAGAGCAGAAGTGTTGCTTTCCTCCGAATGGCAAAAGCAAGCTTCAAGGGAAGAAAATAAAAAGTTACTAAGAAATGAACCACAGCTCAAGGCAGCAGGGTGCCCAACTGAAAATGAGATAACATTTTGGCTTGCTTTTGTCTGTGCAGTGTGCTTTGGAGCTCCTTGTATGACTGGGTATACCATAGGCCCCACCATAACACCATTGCCTGCGACCTTTAAACCATATGGATCCCAATGCCATGGGCTTCAAAGAAAGCTGTTTGAGGTTTGCACTAAGCAGGAAGTGATTGTACGTGTGAACATCCCCAAGCCAGCTCAGTCCAGCTAATTTAAGTACTCAGAGAGAGGGTGCATCTACATGTGCATTAACGTGCTTTAGTTCATGCACATTAAATCTAGTGCCACTGTAATTAGAGCACATCGGAGCAGATTCAATTAATCGAGTCTCCTGGAGCGTGGCCATTACCACACTCAAGCCAGCCTCCATGTCTCGTGTATCAACATCCCCATGCTTCAAAATGGCAGTGGGGGAGCTTTAACTAAAGATCGTCTGACGAGTTAGATAAAGCACCCCCGCCAACCACTTTGAAGCATGGGGATGCTGATAAAGACGATGCTCCAGGCACTTTAATTAGAGCAGCCCTGAGAGCCACTCTAATTAAAGTGCCCTCCTCCCCATTCCCGAAGCATGTGTATAAATGCCCCTAGTGATGCTAGCCTAGCAATAGTACTATAGCAAGAGCCACAGAAGCCCTGTCTTACCTGCAGTGCCTTACCTAGACTCCTGGCAGCCCCAGGCAAACTTTTAGTATCAGGCCCCCCTTCACCAGAGATAATGATAATAATAATTGGACAGTGGGGGATTAGGTATACATATATATACAATATTAAAACTTTTTTTTGCAATTGTAATTTTTTTGCCCCTATTTTCAGGCCCCCTTTCTGTGCAGGCCCCGGGCGACTGCCTGGTTTGCCCATGCCTGTGTCCAGGTCTCCTTACCTGGGTGGCCAGAACCTGAACTGCTGTGGCTACACTGGTATTGGTCCCAGATTAGGACTAGCGTAGGTCTGGCTGTACCTGCTCCCATCACTCCAGTTAACAATGCAAATGCCCTGAGAAAGGAGCAAATATCTCCTGGATAAAGGACTTCAGGAGTTCACTGTCCTCCCAGAATCACTTTGTTCACCCCAGCTGGGCAACTGAGCAGCTGCTTAACAACCCCCAGCAATTTACATAACAATTTGGACAGGAAATAAAAAGGAAAGTGATGTTCAATTAAAGCCAGGGGGGAATTTTTGTAAATAAAATGTAATTTGCAAAGCTGGAGCTCAGCCAGGGTATGCAGATTTGAAAGAAATGCTACCATTTCTTTTTAAATGACCAGTTGAAGCCAGGAAGTTCATTCTATATCTTCATTAAAAACATATATATAGTGCTGTCGACAAGCTGACCTGTAACTCGGTGGCATCTCGATCCATTATTGGCTTTTACAGAGAACTGCCACCTACTGAATAGCCAATCTGTCCACCTGTAGTTTTTGAGCGGTAACTATTTCCTGTAGTACCTAGGAGATCCTTGGCAGCTTCCCATCCAAACACCAAGCAGAACCAATCACGCTTAGATCAGGAAGTCTAATGAGATCACAGTGGGAGGTGACATCGCTCTAGGCCATTGCTAGTTTGTCCTCTGTTCTCAGGTTATTGTCACTGACTTTTCTGCTACTTCCCAGTCCTTGTACCGTGGGAAGTGTTAGTTACAAACCTACAGCTTGGCCTCCGTCACCCGTCTCCTTCTGCAATCATATACCCCAAAGCAATGTGGATTTGAAACACCATGGAACTGAAATAAAAGCATTTTACACCCATTTTGTACCATATAAGTGTCAACGCAAGGTGCAGGGGAAAGCTGATAGACAGCCTACAGTACGCAAGGATTACTCATCTTCTAGCCTCTGCAGGGTGAAATGCAGTTTCTGTCGAACAGACAACACATTTTCAAAATGCTCAGCATGTGACAACTCCAAAATGCTTAAAGAAATGAGTTTGCTACCTGAATCCTATCAATTGGGCCAGAAAGGGGCAGGTTCTTTTAAACAGGACAGACTACTTCAATGCAGTGGGTCCATTACTATCCCTTTTCTTTCCCCTCTCCCTCAATCTACGTAGAATCATAAAAATGAGGGTTGGGAGGGACCTCAGGAGGTCGCATCTAGTCCAAAGCAGGACCAGCCCCAACTACATCATCCCAGCCAAGGCTTTATTTAGCCAGGTCTTAAACACCTCCAAGGATGGAGACTCCAGCACCTCTGGGGAACCTGTCCCAGTGCTTCACCACCCTCCTAGTGAGAAAATTTTTCCTAATATCCAATTTAAACTTCCCCTGCTGCAACTTGAGCCCATTGCTCCTTGTTCTGTCACCTGCCTCCACTGAGATCAGTCCAGCTCCGTCCTCTTTGGAGCCACCCTGCAGGGAGCTGAAGGCTGCTATGCATCTCCTTTCCCCCTCTTCTGTCTCCTCCATGGTTCCCATGTTTACTGGGGAAGCGAAAAAGGTGATTCATCTGCTTCTCACATGTGAACAACCACATCCCCTATTTACCAAACTTTTGGGAGCATGCATTGAGGTTCACAGGCATCTTGAACCTTACAGTCAAGGCTCTTCCAAGCTCAGTAAGTCTGAGGTTTGATGCAAACATTTTGCACATCTCTATCTGCATCTCTCAGCCATTTTAACTACCTCTTGCCCTTTGTCATTCTTTTGAGCCACTGGAACTCAATATATCCCTTCTGATCTAGCCTCACACCTCTCAGCTACTCAAAGATGTGATAAATATGCAAGTTGTGTGTGCACATATGTGTGCATATCCCCCCATTTTTTTCACTGGAGCACCAAAGATCTGGTCAGATGCTATTAAGCAATGGTGTGAAGTCCATTTCCAAATCAGATTAGCATCTGAAATGGGTTACCACCTTTGGGTGCTGTTCATACACAAGGGGCATGTCTACACAAGATGCTTACTTCGCATTAGCCTAATAACGCTGCATAGTAGCATGTCACGGCAAAAACCATGCTAACAGCCCACTGCGCAGTGTTCTCAGGCCAATGGGCAGTAAGCATCACTAAATAACCGTGCACCAGTGCAGTAACTCTAGACTAGTTATTGTGCATTCAGTTAGTACTCCATTAAGGAAGTACTAAACTAAATGTGCAGTAATTAGGGCGCATTACTGAACATGTAGACGCACCCACGGTGAATGAAGCTTGGATTAGCCAGTTCCAAATGAATCCACTTCGTTTGTGGTCCCTGCTGTCAACAAACCACAAGATATAAGGCATCTCTGGAAAGCCTTTTAATTTCACTATGCACACATGCAAATCAGCTTTCTACCTTGGAGCTCCTCTTTTGTAGTCCTTAATTAGGTTTCTTTAATATAATATTACTCCCACTATATTAGAAAATGCATGTAGTTTGGTTCTGTTTATACAGCCAGCATGTGTTGTAATTATGGTATAGAGAAACCTGTTCCTTAATAATCCCTTATGGAATCGAGAACTACAATATTTTTATCAGAAAAAAAAAAATAGTCCTTGAACAACCTGTTAGAGGCAAAGCCATGCTATGCCTATATATAACTGTAACCCATTGATAAGTGTATCTTCCAGATAGATCTTCATCTATGTCAGACCCACAGAGATTAAGATTTTGTTTCAATCCCAGTTAAGGAGACTCGACCGAGCAGCTCGTGCTAAAACAGCTTGCGGCTTCCGCTGTGTGGAGGTCACTGGTTCAATCACGCGAGTGTCAGCTCAGGCGGTTGTTCTCACCCCGATGCAGGAGCTACTAGCATGGCTCCAACATTAGAGAAGACAGGGCCAAAAGAGACTCCTAGTTTTGTGATGCAGATACTTAACCATGAGACTAACACCTAATTTCACCCAGGCAATGGAACAGCCCAGAGAGGGGAATAGATGGTGACGGGAAAAAAATACACAATCACAGCCGCACAAGCATGCCAGCAGCATGGCAATAGCTAGAAGTCGCTACTACCCCCATGAATCCCACTGCCCTCGGTGCCTGGCTGTACCATTAGGCTTCTGGTCTCAGGATTTCCAAGATACAAGCCTGTAATAAAAGCCAAATATTTTAGAGGCAGCCTCTTGCCAAACTTCAATGTGCATTTATGCCAGTGTCCATGATTTGTAGATCCACATGACATAATGGTCACTATGTGGATTATTTTCTTATTAAAGTGTTACGGAGCTAAGCTGCACAGCTCTGAAAAGCAGCTCCCCTTGGCTTCAGCCAAAACTAAAATGAATAAATCAATGCAAGGTTGGGTTTTTTTTCCCCTCCTTCTCCTGTATCATTTGGATGAAACACTAATTAAGTTAACACTTCACAAGTGCATAGATGTCTCTGATCTTTGAAGTCACAGGATTCTCTAGCCTGCCTTGCTGTCAGCATCTCAAAGAGTATTGCAACCCAGTGCAGTACAAAACGCGAGCGCATGCCACGTGGAATAGCAGGTGCTAAACGTCCGGGAGGCAGAATCAATAAGTAAAATCATAGAGAAGCAGGGCTGGAAGGGACCTCCAGAGGTCACATCTAATCCAATGCCCTGCCTGCAGCAGAATTATCTCTATCCAAACGACCCCATCCAAATCCATCGATTAACCTCTTAGCAAACTTACAATCATCCCTAACATAATCACAAGCTATCACACCCAAACCTGCCACAGGTAAAGCAGAGGAGCCACCGCAGCCACCATCCTGCTGATGCAAAGGTTGTTAAAACAAGCTCCCCCCACTACAGAGAAATGCAACACCCCCCACCACCGCCCCCACCAGCCTCAGGCCAAATTCCTTCCTGACTCCACCGTGCAGCAATCAGGCTGACCCTGAGCAGAGGGGCAAGGCCCTTTACCCAGGAATCGTTGGGGTTCAGTCCCAGAACGAACATTGGCACAGCCTGGTAAAAGTCTATGGCCAACACCAATGCCTCTGAGAAAGGCAAAAAAACCCCAAAGTGAAACAAA